CGTTGAATCCCCATGCTGAGAAAAACGAAGGTGTGCGAGTGTCGTGTTGTGTGTGGTTTCAGTCGGTGTGCTGAGTTCTGGACTTCTTATTAGGGAATGTTAAGCAACTTGGCTCAAACCATCAGGCTCAAGAATAAAATTTAACTATTTTGTAACCCCCAGGCATTTTAACTATATATCTTAAATTTAACTATAACTATTTTTAATGAAATATCTTATATTTAACTATAACCGATGATTTTAACTTAACGGATCCTTTGGGTATATCATTACACATAGATTAAGGTTAAACTACACATGTGGGGTTCTCCGGTCCTTTAATTTTTGGGTTAGTTGGGGACGTGTCTAAAGCTCATCGACGTTTTCTCCACCGCCCGGAGCAGTTGAATGAACTGGCGTGTCAGACCCGATCTGATTCAGACATTATTTGGTAGAATAAGACTGGGACTTTTGGAGTGGCTTCGGCTGCTTTCTGGTTCTCTCGCTAGATTCGGCTTGTGGGACGCCTGTCTTTCAGGGTCATGCTGGAGGCTGTCATTTTCGTGCTGATATACGCAGATGATCTTCATCTCCTCAGTGGTGGCAAAGAACGATGGCTCCACCTGCGGATGATGTTGGCCCTGATGCGCGTGCAAGGAACTCCTTTTTCTAGTCGCAAGTGGAGGGGAGGACTCCAAGTCGACTTGGTTGGATACTGGGTGGACTGAATAGAGTCCACTTGAGAATCTCGGAGAAGCGCTGCCGCTGGATAAGTCACAGCATATCTTCCATGGAGCAGTGGATGTTTGACGCTTCCACGAGTTTCATGGAAGGCTTGGCTTCATGTCTCACGTCCTGGTATGGGTACGCCGCATCCTGGCCCCGGGCTATGCTTGGCTTGCTGTGGCGCCGTTCTTTCGCTGCCAAATCTGATACGTTGTGCCCTGAAGTTTGTTTGGGGCCACCTTCGAGCTGGTGCACGTACATATCCGGTTGGGGTGATCGATACGGACCTGGGCGAGGTTTTCCACGCTGATGCTGATTGCAATGATGACTTGTTCATCCTGGGGGGTTGGTTCCTCCGCCGCGGCTCCGATCCAAGCAAAGCACCCTGGTTCCAACTTGCGCTTTCTCCCGAAGATGCGCCTTGGCTCTTCAAGGATGGCTCCAGCTCCTGGTCCAGCACATCCTCGGAGCTTTTGAGTTTTTGGTCGCAGCGCGTATCCTAAAACGGATTTTTCGGAACTTTTGCAAGGGCCTGGGCTGTTGCGAGCTCACTTTGCTGGGGTACGGACAACCAGGCTGCAGAATCTCTTTCTCTCTGAAGCTCCCCACGACCCAAGTCCCGCTCATGTTTGTGGTCATGCAGCATGTGATGTGCTGCGACATGATGGGGGACCGATGTCAGTTGAGTTGGCATGCTCGTGGAACAAACGAGGAAGCAGACAATATTACGAAGAACCGTCTGGATGGCTTCGATGGTTGTCTTCGGATCCCTGTGACTTGGGCAGAGATCGATTTTTCTGTATTAGAACCGCTTTTGGCGTTTTGTGATTTCCGTGAAGATCTGTAATCCGCTAACATGGATTCTGAAGCTTCAGTGCGACCAACGGCCATCAGATTCGAAAAGTCAGTGTGGGGGTAGCATCCGTGCTCCCTCTTTTGCGCAGGGGGGATCGTGATGATCACCTCGTTCACACATACGCTGGATGGATTCCGTATGGAATTAGGCATCCGAGATCTGAGATATGTGGGCTGTGCGATCCAAAGTGAAGGTCGTCCATCGCTTTGCGCTTCTGACATGCATGTTTGACCTCCCCTGCTCCCCTACTCCCGCGTCCTTGCGTGTGGGTCCATCGTGTTTTGTGTTTTGGGCATTTTGGGGGTACAACACACAGTGTGTCTGGTTTTCAGATACGTGGGAGGTGACCCAGGTTCGCAAGTTCTGGCCTGAACTTAATGAGCGGGCGCAAGCCTACATCGCATGCTCTGAGACCTTAGCGCAACTAAGACTTGCCATGCTAGCTCTCCGCAGGTTGCATGCTCAGCACCTTCGGTTTGTGCTTCACTCGGCATCCGACAATACCTCAGCAGAAGCAGGCATCAACAAACTTTTCACCACCACCAAGCCTCTTTGCAGGTTTCTCAAGCTGGTTGCATCCTGGTCCGCCAGGCAAAACGTACAGCTCGCTGTCACGCACTTGGCAGGTGAGCAAGACGCATGGGCAGACAAACTCAGCTGCTGCAAACTGCATCGATTTGCTAACCGCATGCAAGACAGAGAGCCATCTCCCCGGAAACATTAGCATGCCCGCAAGGCCTAATTACTTTGCACCCGCAACACTGTGCATGGCAAGACGATCTCAAACAAGCACAGTTCCCGATCAAGCCATAAAAAGGTGCGCATCTGCCGCATGCGAGTCTCGTACAGTTGCTCATTTGCTCCAAGTATTTTGGCATTCTGCAAGTACCGGAACCTCTGACGCGGAAGGGGCGGGCTTTTGCCACTGAGGTGCTCGAACCTAAAGAGGAGGTTTCTCGACAGGGACCCTTTGCATTTGCATACATTTCGAGAACATCGTGCCAAAAACGATTGCGTCCGCTTTAGCTTCTTGCTGTTCAAGCCAAGCGTAGGTAAGCCACACTTGAACGTTGCATGTTTGTTTTATGGTCACACATGTGTTAGTGCTGGTTTTATCCTTGCATTGCAAACATGTTGCTTACTGTAGCTTGCCCCACAGATATTGCACGTTTGTTGAACACCCACCCACCGGATTGCACGCATTGCAAGCATTGCTCGCATAGCAAATTATTCATTTTCACACGCACTGCATTCCTCAGAGCATTGCATCAAAAGTTTCACAGCCTTCTCACTGCAGGGGGGTTTCTCGGCAGGGACTTTCTGCATTGCATTTGCATACATTGTCGAGTACCCCGTGCCAAAAGTGATTCCTTCCGCTTTAGTTTCTGTCTGTTTAGGCGAAGCGTAGGTAAGCCACACTCGGAACTTGAAATCGATAGTTTCTCGGGTGCTGAAAGCCAGAGACGCGGAATGGACTTGGTTTCTGCCGAAAAAGCTGTAATTAGTCTGTTTTGTGCTCCACTGGCCTGACGCTTGGGATATTGTTATCTGCAATTAAGTAGGGGTTCGGTTGCTTAGACTGGTTGGCTTCTCTAGCTTTCTTATCTTTGTCTTCTATTTGTTTTCTCTGTTTGGGGCGTTTCCAGAAGCGAGCATGGAGTTGTTCCGTTCCTGTATTGTTATTAATCCGTTGAGACATTTAGCTCTCATCCGTACGCATTTATAGAATTCTGCTCAAGCCCGATTTGGCTCTTATCCGACCCCCTTTAATCATCCGAAGTTAAGATTTTGTCAGTTATTCGAACGATTTGATGTCAATCGTTCTTTTTGAATGTTGTTGCTTTCATGCAATGCTGTGAGCAGTGCAGCATCCACACACAGTTTTGGACATGGCAGAAGCCCACGCCCACCAACGAGGTAGACTGACAACACAAGTGGGAGCAATTTAAAGTAAAAAACTGCTCAAATCTTGGCGCAAACTCTGATGTGGAGAGCCTGTTGAGTGTTAGTGTTAGTGCGTAGTTATGTGTAGCGCTGCGTTGTCAACATATAATTTTTGCAGCATGTGTATCACACGAGACCCCGTCCTATTTGGTGCCAGAGGTTCGCTGTTTTGCAAAGGGGGTTCATGAGCCAATTTTGCGCGACAGAATCATGTCCGCAGCAACTGTAAGGCTCATTGAACAAGTGTTGTGAAACACTATCTAGAGTTGGAGTTTGCGGGGTGCATCCGTTGTTTCGTGCCCTCTGCAGCTTGCTGGTGTTTGGTATGGTTTATGTTTCTTGCCATGCTTGGACAAAGGGTTCTTGTTGTTCCGATTATGGGATCAGCAGGTACGTGGCGTCGAGGCAACATCTGAGCGATTTTATCATCATGTGGTATGGTGAGTGACCATCATGCTGTTTGATATTGGTTGTGTCTGTGGCAGATTGCACTGCTCAAGGACGCACGCTGCATGCAGTCCGCTGTTCGAGCTGTATCGCGCAACCGGGAGGTGGGCGGGGTGAGATCACGTAGCACATCTCCAAGAGCTAATAATACAAATCCAAATGATATTGAACAAGCTTGCATAAGGTGTCGAGGCACTTCGTTCGAAGAGCTCAACTGTCTCTCGTGTGGAGCTCGAAGGACCACCTTCACATGCCTCGGCTTGGAACTCCATCATCAGATCTGTCAGCAAGCCTGTGGAATGCTGTTCCAATCCGAAATTTCATTTCAACACCTAGTTCTGAAGTGGGAAGCCTCCACGACACTCGCCTTCAAAGCGCATGTGTGCAAACATATTTTGCGATGGACATAAGGCACCAGTTTTGACCTTATCTTCGGCGAGGCAGAGCTCTTCCAATCTGCCTCAAGTGACACCTGGGGCGTCAGCTTGTTGTATTTTCAGGTGTCAGCGAACTTGTTTGCCTTTTCACGATGGCAGATGGCATAGTTCCAAGGCACCGCTTGTGAGAATGTAATAATTCGCACAGCTTGCCTCGGCTGGTTTTAAAGGTGGCTCCACTGCGGGAGATGACCGGCGGAGAGGTCCTTACGCGGACTTGGTCATGCGAACTTTGCATGTGACCTTGTGCAGGTTATTTTTAACATGCTGGTGGAGCATGGTGTTGACACAGTTTTTGGTTACAGTGGAGGCCAACTGTTGATTTGGATTTGTGACTTTGGACCACTTGTGGCCCATCTGCAGGTGCTGTTCTACCACTGATTGATGCCTTTCACGGCAAGAACATTCAGTGGATAACGTCGTCTCATGAACAGCTGGACCCTTGACATCTTCTTCATGCTGCTTTGCATGGGCGGTGTACTAGCATCATGTCAGGTGCTCGGGGCATTCAGCCGCAGCTTATGCAAAATCGACAGGGAAATTTGGAGTTGCGCCAGCCTGAGAAGCTTCAATCCAGCAGTGTGCCATGGCCGATTTGTAGCGGCCAGCCAGAGCAAACTTTGCAGATTGCAGTCAGCAAAATCAAGGCCATTGTGACAAGTGGTCCTGGCTTGACCAACCTGGTCACACCCATGCAGGCACCGCAAAAGCTGGCAGTAGCGACTTGGTGTGACATGGCCTGCCTCACATTGAAGTCATGCGCTAGTGACTCGAGTTCATGGTTTTAGCATAGCAAGTCTAATTTTTTGCATTTCTTGTGACAGTCCTCCTCTGCCTTGGATTATGCTGCGGGAGGACGCCTTGACAGATGGCGTTCCGATGGTGATCTTTTCTGGGCAAGTGCCTACTGGTGCCATGGGCACCGACGCCTTCCAGGAGACAGAACATGCCCTTGCAGCAGTTCAGCCTTGTTACAGTTTGGGACGTATCTGTGTTAATTCCATTGAGTGCATGCCACAGCCGTAACATCTTCAAGCCATGAAGTGCTAATGACAGCGGCAAAATGGAGAAGAATTCTGCAATTTGTCGTGCTGGCCATGCCGAATGCGCCTGGGGCTCAGTCAGAGCCCCTTTTCCACTCCTGTGAAGTGCCTTCAGCAAGTTAGTCAGGAACCCCGCAGAAGTAAGCGTGGCACTGCGACTGTGTGAGGTTTTCGTTTCGTTGCCGTTTTGCACCGATCGTCCCGGAACCTTGCAGCCTACACGATATTCGCCAGTTGAAAAAACAGGAGCCACTGCCAGTGGCTAAAGCTAAAGACAGGCGCGAAAAGTCAGTAACCTTTCCAAAAAGTACACAATCAAAGTTTGTTGGAGGCGGCATGGAATTTCTGTTTGTACACACACCCGCCAGCGGCATTTTGCATCCCGTCATGACAACCTTCTCATGTTTCAACTAGACTGAACGGCACTCGCGGTTAAAGACATTGGAACGTGACACCATCTCCACACAAAGTTTGACGGTCTTAGGTGTTCCAGTATTGTAAGTGTATGCCGTTGTTATGTAGTAGTTGTTTCGAACTGAAATATCCTGATGTTTCTTCCCCGAAGCTGCGAGCTAGGTCTGGGCTTTGTCGTGGTAGATAATTCAGCAGCAAGGCTGCAGATACTCACTCATGTCTTATATTCTGTAGGCTACTGTACATTGCGTACTTACGAGTGCTATTGCTGTTGCATGGGCTAGAAAGAGACATTGTCGGTTAGGGCTCTTTCCGATAAAGGGCTAGCCCGGTCGAAACCAAAAGCTTCATCGCGAGGACCTACCCATCACAGTTGTTTTTGTTCACGGGGGATTGTGTGCGCTCAGACGACACGATGGGATCATTCTTTTCTCCAAGTCTGAAGCTGAGCCTCATCGCAACCCTTTGCATCGATCTGGAACGAGTCATACGTGGCTGGGCACTTGTCATACGGGGCGCATTTCAATGCACATTTGGCCGCATAGGGATGGTACTGAAGAAACAGGCAAGTTGAGCTGCCGCTCTCTCCCAAGGATCGGGTGGCACTCTGAATGCGGCCAACAAATCATGCCTCACAAGCGTGCAAACAATCGGGCTTCTGAACATGAGCTAATGCTCTGAATTGCTGCTGAGACTTTTCTAGACAACATCCTACAGGCAGTTTGGCATCCTGTGATTGGAGCAGACAAGGCAGTTTTGGTTCTGACAGCACTCGGGCAATAAAGCCTTTTCATGGAAGCAGGCAGCAGTTTCCTGTTTCTGCTTCTCCAGCCTTGTGTTTGCAAGACTGGACTAGCTGCCTAGCTGCTGGATGCCCATGGTGGCTAGGATTTTGCGGTGAAATGCAGGACTTCTCATCCTTCAGAACAGAACAGCACATTGGCTCAACAGGGCACAGACGCATGTGACTTCTGTCCTGTTACTGTACAAGCTGCCTGCGAACAGCACAGGGGTGTGGGCCTTGCGGTTTGTGGGCAACTATTCGGCCACCAGTCTCTGCTCCTTGCATCTCCTTGCTTTTGTCCAAGGACACTGGCCGCATTGCCTGAAGCTGACTTCCGGGACCACGAAAGCCAACAGATCTGGCGAATTCTTCAATCTGCAGGATTGGTACATTCGCGCCTGCCGAGCTTCGATCAAGATGCACAAAGTCTGCATGACCACAGAGCATTTGCCTCAACATGAGATGTCGTATGTGTTGCACACGAAGCATTTTTTCGGCACACGACAGGTGAAGTTTAGATCCGATGAGGAGGTAGCTCGCCTGTCCCAGATGCAAAGTGCTCAGCTCATTTTCCCCTTGTCAGGTAAATCGTTTGACTTGTGTGAGAGGATCAATGTAGATCGTCCGCATCAGCTGCAGTGCGTGCAGTGCTTGCTTTGGGCCCACAAGGCGATGAGGAAGCCCTTCGCATTGCTGGAGATCCTAGTAATTTGCCTGGGTATACCTGGCCGGCAGCAACGCAGGAGGAACAATCCCCGCGTGTCGGGCATGCAACCTTGCAGTATCTTCCTTGCCTTTGCTCGTGTTTTCCAGGAGAGCAATCAGGCCCGACTGTGTGGCTGGTCTGTCTATTTGCAAGTTATGTTCGCTTCATTCGACATTCTTTGATAGGCATGGCCAACTGGACGTCAGCCAGCATCACTTGCAGCATGGCCGGCCGAAGTCCTGGGATGATGTGTGACAGCTGTTATGACAGCAATAAGTTCTCCAGGTAAAGCATGGATCACTGTCCATGTGCTGGCAGTCACAGGCGAGTCTTGGAGCGGCTAAAGCGTCTCCGGTGGTATCTTGATAACAGGTGCTGCGCGATGTTCAGCGTGGCTGGCCTGGACAGCTCCCACCTGAGATGTCTCTGCACCTTCAAACTTTCTACGCTCTCTTTGCAGCTTGGATGTGAGGTGCGTTGGGCTTCTTCTGGTTCAATCAACTACTATGGACCTTTGCCGCAACTCGTGCTTGAACGATCCAAGGCAGGGTCACTGTCTGGTGGAGCCAAACGGCATGAAAAGCTTGGACCCTTGACCAGCACAATACCCGTACTAGAGCCACAGCAATTAACAAGGTGTGACCATATAAAGTGCAGGATTATAAATGCTACAGCTTTTCAGAGCTTTGGATAATTAGAGCCCAGCTATTCGCTGACTTGTTCGAAGGAGGTAGGGGGAACACCAAAAAGTCTGGTCCCATTACGATGTCTTTTCGAGGATAGACTGTCATTCGGGGAGGTTTTGGGAGTGTTTCCTTGGACCTCCTGAACTGGCTTGCGATGGCCAAATGGATGCCCTCTGATTCTGATGCTGATGAAACTGCCATCCTACTGTAGGAAAGACCTCATCCAAGAGTCCTTCTACAACTGTTGGCCACCCACTACGTTTGCCTGTGTTCACCTTCCAATCGATTTTGCGGCGCTTGCTCGTTCACCTGTGCCACCCTTCCACGTGTTGTTTCAGAACCACATGGACCGCAGTCAGAGGTTGAGGTCGCTGATTGCAGATCTCGGGGTGGTGTAACCCTCCCCCATAATAATTGCCAAGCGAAAAGTCAGGTTGCACAGAATAAGGATCCCTCATCTAAGAAGGAAAAACAAATGATGCTAAATACGAGATTAAGAGGAGTTTACTTGATGTCAATTGTTTTTAATTCGAATTCATGCGTTTTCATTACATTTCAAATGATTTGGCATTGTCTTAAACGGAGATGAAAACCAGTTGACTTTTGTTAGGTATGTATTGGAGAATTATCTTTTTTACTTGATTTCGTCAGGTATTGATTGATTGTAAGAAGACTGAATTTGTTTCTAATGAGCGTTCAGATAGACTTTAACTAGAATTTCGATAGGTGTACTTGCTGTAGGTTTTCATGAGTTTTGATGACTCGACTTTAGTTGGTTGCACTTAAATTTTGGTTGGGTTGTTACTTGATTGGATTAGACTTTAGCTGGTTTAGTTAGAACCCATTTGTTTTGACAAAATTTCAAGTGATCTTACATGGGTTCTAATCCGAATCCAAGTTCATTCTGAGTTGGTGTCAACCAATTTTACACGGATTACAATGCCTAGATGAAGTACAAGGGATCCAAAACGAAGAATGCTGAAAAGCAGGTTGCAATCATTCTGGGAGGTTTTCCCATACAGGTAAAGAAAGATCCTCTCACGCAAGGTCCTTAAGGGGGAACTCAGGAAGCAACGTTTGTCCCTTGAATTCCCAATGTGTTTCAATGAGCAAATCAGGTCTCAAAATGAGCTCCTTCTTTCTCATTTGAGCAGCCTTAGTAAGCAAATCAGGTTTCCAATCAGCCCTCCGTTTCTGATTTTAAGAGCAGCTTTGTAAATAGGTCTTTGTGCAAAAGGTTCTGAGGCTGATGTCCCCTAAAGCCAGGCTATTGTTTTAGGGGTTTTCCGTAGATTTGAAGAAGGATCCTCTCACACAAAGTTCGTAAGGGGCAGCTCAGGAAGCAAGGTTTGAGCAATTTATTCTTAATGTTTTTTTTTTTTTTCCGAGCTCAGATACCAGAACAAGATTTTTTGCTTAATTTTAAAGAGTGGCCTAGTGATCAAGCAAAACCTGCCTTCTTTAGAATTTGAGATTGCAAGTTTTGAGCTTTATTAGCTCTCGAGTCTTAGGATTTATTAGGATTTCAAACTCGACCTTGAGCCTTCATCTCCTGATTGAGAGAAACCTTCCTCATCTTCCAGGGTCTGGAAATATTATTTTCTCTTTGACCCTCCAAGACGGCCCAAAATAATTTCCTCAAACCTTTTGCATGTGCCATGAGAAGTCAGGCCTTCACGGAACCTGTAAAGGAGGCTAGGTGCTTTACCAGTTTTGTTGTCAGATCCTTGGCAGGTGTTCGGTGTGGCAGTTCAATCCTGGGCAGATGAATGGTGGATGTTGGCAGGGCCAGGCGAGGCCTATGTAACTTGATTGTTTTCTCAGCTCGCTGACGTCACACGACCTCTGCTTATTCGGGAGAGTTTCAAATCTGTTGCATGATGTACCTCCATCCAATGCTCAATGGTGTTTCCGGCAGCATGTCTGTAACAACAAGTGCTGTATTCTCTGTGAGTTCTGGGGTGGCGAAGTTGTGTAACGCCCTACCTTCACATCAGTTTTAAGTCGGTGTAGTGTGGATTCTTACATGTGGGCCAAGCGATGCGAGATGCAACGAGCGTCACCGGCCTGGGGCAGAACTAAGCTAAGAAGTTCCAAGCTGTCGCAGCTGATTCGAATAGCCTAGGCCGGCTGAAATTGATGCTTGTGACCTTGTGCAAACGGTCATCGTTGTTGTGCAAAGAAGGACTCTGCACTGTGAAAAACAGTGATCGCCCGCCTGACGTGCAGGGCCACCACTGCGAAACGCGGAACGGCTACAGTACTGTGCAATTTTCTGGGGGGTCGCTAGCTGAGACACTTTGGTTCTTGCAATGTCCCCTTAATATTTGGCGCGTGTAACCTGCAAGGCAGAGGATTCAGCATGGTAGCATCCGAGCTGCTCGGCACAGCCCGGCGAGATTGTTTCGCAGCTTCGCGGGGGTTCCATCCACCAAGGTCATGAAGCAGATGAGTGGTATTGAGGTCCACGGTCTCCGCCCCATAGGAAAGTTGGACGCCGATGATCAAAGCACGAACATCGAAAGATGCAGGCCGTTGCAGTCCCAGACGTTTGTGACGACACCAAACTGGCATGACATGTTTGTATCCAAGTTTGACGCAGGAATGTGTGCTATTCAGACATCCTTTGCCAGTACTGGCAGTGCCCATTCATTTGAGTGTGTGTGTGTGTGTCATCCTCTG